ATTATTGATGATGTGTATGGAGTTTCTGTGTCATGCATTTTTTTTTTTTTGAGTTATAGAATTATCTAGAATGGGGGAAGGATATTCCACAATACCTCTGTGTATAGTTGCCAAGATTGAATTAACCTATAAACCTCTGAGATGATTGAATTGTGGCTTTCACCTCAAATGCAATCTAGCTGAGATTTCTGCCTGTAGTCTCTTCTGTGTGCTGCTTTTGGTGGGTTTTTAGATGCAGTGTTTTATCCCATATGGCTTCCTAGGCAACAGTCATCTAGATAGCTTAAACCTCTATTATTCAATTTTCTGTTGTCTTTTTTTCTTTAATTGCATGATATAATAAATATGAATGTGTGTCATTATTAGAATAATGAGCGTATGCTCATGTAGGAGGTGGGGCTCACAAAACACATATTATGGATTTAGTGAGAGGAAATTGAAACTTAACCTTCTCAGACCCAAACCTGGTTCATCTGAGATCAATTGCAGCAACTGAGTCGGAAGGTCTGTGGTTTGTGTGCAGAAAAGGGAGTGGACTGGAGTAAAATGCCTGGGGATGTGTGAGAAAGATGGAGGCCCTGCATCCCTGGCTCCTCTCTGAGAATTGGGATGCTGCAAGGTCAGCAGGGAGACTTCCCAGCATGATCCGGGTAGACCTTCCAGGAGCAAGAGGAATCATTTATGTCTGTTGCCTGCTCCCCTAATATTAACTTTAAGATTAGAACTAACCTCAATAATTCACTTCCAGAGCAGCTTGGACACCCCTTGGCATATTGCCAAGCCTATATGTCGTTTTCTTTCAGTGTAATTTCAAAGCAATATGTACTATCACACAAAAGCTTTTTTTTTTAGTTCTGACCTAACTTTTCTAATGCCACAATTGTAGTTTTATTCGTCACCAAGCCTAAATTAGTAGCAGCTAGTGGTACTCTTGAGCTGTGGTGTAAACAGAAAACAAGCTGCTGGGAATAAGCCTCCTGGCATGCACTAGATTTGGGAGCACATACAGTGGTGGTTGTGCTCCTTCACCAGGCCACTTGTGTGGTCTCTGGTCTCTAATCTGTCACCTCCTCAAACCACAGCATTGTCAGCTTGCTAATTGATCCTTCTGAGAAAGAAGCCAAAAGAGAAAGGTAACACATGCTGATGATTGATTTATGAACTCGAGGTCTCTGAGGCACTCAGATACAAGTTGCTTTGGTGAACTCTAAACTTAATTATTGTGCCTAAAGGGGAAGAGAGATGTCAAAAGAACCTGGCCCTTGCTTTTCACTTTGAACTTCCAAGTGTTTGAGAAGTGGCTCCCCTGTGGGTGCTTGCAAAGGGACGTGTATGGATGAGTGCATGTGTGTTGAGAGGAACCAAGGAAAGAATCATACAATGACTTTTGTCTTTCGCTTGTTTTTGTGTGTTTCTTATCCTTAGTAAGGAGCATTTTTATAGTATTGCCTGGCAGTTTCTTCTAATACCCACCCCAAGTCTAGTACCACTACCACTACCAACTGTGGTTTTACTCACCTATGGCTCACTGCAGTCCAACCGTTTTCTCCCTTGTGTGTTTAATCTTTTCTTTTTTGTCCTTGGCATTGTTATTTCCTCAGATTACTGACCTGCTTAGTGGGTCCTACTGGCATTCTTACCATTTCTGATAGATCCTCACAGAGCTTCAGAGGGTATAGCTGGTGGAAGACTAGCATGAAACTTCTTTCTCTTTCTCAACTCTATGACTGTCTACTTATTCATTCAGCAGACATGTACTGGACATTGTGTGCAAGGCACACAGCTTCTGCCCTCAAGGGGATCACAGTCCTGGATACACACGGGAAGGGGATAGGGCACAGCAGGACCATGACATACTATAGAGTAAGTTTAAGGAGGCTGGGAGGAGTGGGTGTCTTGTGTACCATAAGACTTTAGGATATGGACGGGGAGTTATAGGAAGAATAGGACTCTTAGGTTAAAAAGATCATCATGAGCAAAGGTTGGGAACTACCCAGAGAACAGCTCTGTTTTCCTGGAACTATATAGAATGCATAATGGCATAGGGTGAGGGAGGTAAAGCTGAAGAGGCGGGCTATGGTATGTGCAGAAGGCCTTGCATATGAGGAGTGCAAGCTTCTGAACACAGAGCTAGTCCATCAGCAGCGTTTAAGTGTGACAGTAGCAATATTGGAGAAGGCCTTTCCTCTCTGGGTTGTTCTTAGATTCCTAACACACAGGTGCTGGAAGGGGGGCCTATTTAACCCAGTCCCCACATTATTCAGAGGAGCATGAGTTCCTTAGAAGGTGATTGATTTGGTCAAGGTCAGGATTTTGGATGGATATTCTCTCATGCAATATGGTGCCCACAGTGTTCTGTTTGTTTGCACCCACCAGCAAACTTTAAGAGGTACCACTGAGGTCCACAAAAAGAGTCTTTTTTCCAAAAATGGAATATTTGTATAATTTATATAATATGAACATTTTAACAAATTGGTATTGTAGACTTTGTACTTTATATGAGGAGAGGCTTTGTATATGCTTCATATACAAAGCAGTGGTTGCATTAGGATAAATTCTTATTTTTTCAAGAGGAGAAAAGACATAAAAATGGTCTTAATACTGTTTGCCTTAAAAGCAGGATCTGTGTTAACTTTGACATATTGTGTATAATATTTGTTATGGTAATTTAGCTTCATGAAATCACTGGTCACAGAAATGTAAGATAATATCAGATTCTCACACGAGTACTTGATCAGCAGCATACGTTTTCATTAAAGTAGTCACATTCCAGTAATGACCAGCAATAGCAACACAGAGAATGCAGCTGCTCAGTACATATCTGAAGTGTTATGGAATCTTTGGGAGCAATCCCATGAAGTTGCAAGTCTCGAGATGAGACTTATACTCAGCCTAAATAGTAACTACTTTACTAGTTTAACTGACTTTTTGTTTTTTCTTCAATACGTTTGCACTGATATTTATAATTTTGGGCAAAAAATGCTAAAGCGAAAAGCCTTTGTTTCCATTTTAAATTACCTCAGTATTTACCTGATGTAGAAGTTTTGTAAGTATTTGGCATTTGACAGGCTCTGTTTTATAAAATACAGGTTCTAAGAGCCAGAGAAATTAAATGTATTTATTTATTTATTTATTCATTTATGTCAGTGAATAGTAAACATTTACTCTGTGCCTGGGACTGTGCTAGGCATTGAGTCATAAGAGATAGCTCAGGCACTGTCTTTTTCTACATGGTGTTCACTGCGTTCTTACCCCTAGCGACTTGATCACTGATTCTTAAATTTTGATTCCAGTGGGCAAAAAGCATTTTATGTTTCTATCTGGAGGAGTATGGCAGAAGAGGCTGTTCAAGGAAGGTACTTTTTCTTAGCAGCCACCAGGTGTCAGCAGAGTACTTGGAATGAAACAGCATCTGTGTTCTTCGTTTTCTTAATTCACTAAGGCCATTCCCACTGGAACTTTTCAAGGGCATCAACCTCCACTGGACTACTTTCTGTCAAATATTAGTGTCAAACACTTTCTCCTCAAGACTACATCACAATCATTCACCTTTGCCTAATAAAAGTAACACTAGTTCCTCGATCTTTTTCTGATTTAAAACTTTTAATTCTGTCTTTCACGGTGATGGTTCTACGTGAGAGAGAGGCCACTGGCATAGGGAGTAGGCGAGTGTCCCCAAACTCTTGTTGTTTCTGATGACCTATCCCTCATATATGAGCCCACCCTTGCCTAATGTGGGGAAACCTTCAGGGTCCACTCTTTCCTGCACAGAGAAACGATCTGATAGTGGAGCTTGATGGTTCCAAACTACAAAAAAGCATATTCAGTGTGTAAAGGAGAGAAGCCTAGGCATCTGCCCTGACTCAGCCATTTGGTTCATGGTATAGCATGTATTTGGTGGTGTTTACTTACAGATGTTAAGGAACAATGTGTTGGTTGATAGGGGAAACCTTGGCCAGGTGGGCGTTGATTTATATCATGCTGGTTTTATCCAGTTTCTCATCTTGCCTCCTCACTTGAGTGGGCAAGCTGGACAGGAATCTGAGGCATTTGATATGAGACACAGGGACAGAACTGGGGAAGGGCTCCCATGGACACCCATGTTTCTTTCAAGCTTTGTATGGTGTCAGAAGTGGTAGCAATTAAAAGGCTGTCAGTTTGAATGAGTTGCTAAGCAATTGGAAAATTGGAGGGGGACCGGCTGGGGGGATAGTTAAAGATACAAAGCAGCTGGTGGCTTCAGCAGCTAAAACTGCTGGGGTGTGTGGCCTGCAGGGGTCGAGAGTGAGGCATAGCATGTGGCTCCGAGTCTATTCCCTAGAGTAAGGCAGATTGATGCAAGGTTCTACAATTTAGACATGCTGCAGGGATTTCCTTTGGACTGATCAGTGGGATTTGCAAATTGCATTATAGCTAATTCTAGGAACTATTCAGATTCTTCTGTTTTATATCAAATAAAGTATTGTAAATAAGACAGCACATCAATAGGGATTCAGAAATATCTGTAATATTTTGTGTTTGTAGAGATTTTTATGATAGTCAAAGAGAATCACCTTGTTCTTTAAAACATCACGCAGGATGTCCTTAAAACCTACTATATACACATATGCCATTGAAGAGGGTGAATGATATTCTTTCTGGGGTGATACCCAGCTTGATATTGGGCAGCCCCCAGAAGAAAGTTCTCAGACCTGTCTTACGATGTAATTTTTAAGCATCTTTTAAAAAAAAAAATTTCTTTATTGTTGACTTGACTTCCAGTTAACACAATAACTGCACATGGGATTGCGTAAGGGGCAGATCTAATTGTACAAAATCGAAGTGTCTTTACTCCATGGTGGTTTTAGTTTCTGGTATCTGACATTTCCCATTGCTCAGGGAATCCTACAGCAAATCCCATCTTGCTCATGGAAACTTGAATCTTCAAATTGGGCCACAGTGCTCTGTTGATTTTCACCTCTCTCAGCAGTGGTTTCACATTCTCCTCTCTCCCTTTTCAGATCACTGGGGTGATCCTGCTGGCTGTTGGAGTCTGGGGCAAGCTCACTCTGGGCACCTATATCTCACTTATTGCCGAGAACTCCACAAATGCTCCCTATGTGCTCATCGGAACTGGCACCACTATCGTCGTTTTTGGCCTGTTTGGGTGCTTTGCTACATGCCGTGGTAGCCCGTGGATGCTGAAACTGGTGAGTATGTCACAACATAATACTGCATTTTTAATTTTTTGTGTAAAAATATAAATCATATGAAGGTGAAGTGGCTCTCCTTGAGGCCACAGACAAGACCTTAATATTTACTGATTCTAATTTTAATCCAGACTCTTACCTAATCCACCCTTTAATCCCACAGAGGAAAAAACAACCCCAAACACACCCTGGCACAATTCAGTCCCAGTCCCTTGAGGTAGATGATGACCACGCAGTGGCCAGCAACTCCGATAGGCCATTGATATCCTTGTGGCAAGATGCCCTGTTCTAATTTTGACCTCTGTCTTCAAAATCACCTTGAGCATGTAATGTGCAGCTTTGGTGGGCAAAGTAACATCCTGAACCTAAGCAGTCTTCCACCTCCAAGTTCCCACTGGAGAAATACCTTCTGCCTCCTTGGATCTGGCCATTACATGGAGACATGTGCACTCCCTGGCTAAGTGCTCTGGGAGTTGAGCTAAGCCCAAGGTCCCCCCACTTGCCTCACCTTGTCAGAGGGTTGATGGCACTGCCAAGTATTGGCTACCAGTACCATTGGCTGGGTGCCTTTACTCTACGAGGACAGACAGAGCGGTGATGCTTCCCAAAGGCTGTTACTGTGATTTTGAAATTTTAGCTGCCTAATTCCCTATTCACTGTCCATGCTCTTCACTGATCAGGATTAACATTGAAGGATTTTATGGATAAAAGTGAGCAAGGACATCTCCTGAAAAGAAAATTTTGTTTAAATGATTTATTTTAGAGGTCTCATTCCGTGAAAGGGGGAAGCAGAGATTCCATCAGGGCTATGTTCCCTGTCCTTGTTTAGCCCTAGGTTGTAGTAACATTTAGTGACATATGTGGGGGGAGGGTGATTCACTCTGAAGGATCCACCTTCTCAATTGGCACTGGTCAGTCAGCCTCTTGGTTGGCAACCTTGTGGAAGTGGTGATTGACTCAGCCACTTTCTGTCCTGCAGACCACGTAAGAGGTTGATGACTCGGCTGCGACAGATTGTTCCAGGTTGAAGGAGACACTTCTGCTGCTGTCATCTGACACTCTATCCCAGTGTCCTGAGTCTATATTGGAGTACTTCTCATAAGCACGAGGGTTTCTTTTGATCTAGTGCCATGGTCCTCAACTCTGGATGCAGGTTTAAATCACCTAGTCAGCTTTTTGAAAACACTTTTGCCAGGCCCCACCTCCAGCCAGTTGAACTAGAATCTCTGGTGATGAGGCCTTGGCATCACATTTTCTAGAAAGCTCTTCAGGAGATTCTGTCATATAGACAGTGTTGAGAACCTCTTGTTTTAGTACAGTGAGTAAGCTAAGAAGAGAATTAACTTCAGAAGCATAGAAAAGAAAGATTACTAAAAAACTGTCTGCCTAAATAAGAAAGGAGGAAACCTGATGATAAGACCTGACTGATTCTGACACTACCTGGATTAAGTCTTTAGTAGCAAGGATGTAACCCTTCTGGGCCTTTGTCTCCAATTATGAAAGAATAGTATTGGGCTGTGTTAGTCTGTTTCTGTTGCTTATAACAAAATAAACAGAGCTGAGTATTTTATAAAGAAAACAAAATTTATTGCTTACAGTTTAGGAGACTGGGAAGTCCAAAGTCAGGGAACACATCTGGTGAGGGTCTTGGTGGTGGCAACAGTAACCCAGGGGTCTCATGTGGCAGAAAATAGCAAAGCAGAGAGAGACTAACCTCCCATGTGCTCTTCTTTTAATGCCTTCATAACCACACCCCTGACCACCATTATTAATCTATTCACTATGGCTTGGTCCTATAATCTAATCACCTCTTCAAGGCCCCACCTTTAAATTACCGTAATAGTATTTCCCACCCTCAACAGTTACAGTGGGAATTAAGATTCTCATATATGAACTTTGGGGACACAATTCAATCAATCCACAGCATTCCGCCCCTGTCCCCCAAAGTTCGTGTCCTTCTCACAGGTAAATACATTCTTTCCATCCCCCAAATCTCCCCAAACAAATAAACGATAAATATTCCCATTCAAAAAGGGAGAAATAGGCCAAAAGAAAGGGGTAACAGTTCCCAAACAAGTCTGAAACCCAGCAGGGCAGGCAGTAAATCTCAAAGCTGGCAAATCATGTACCTTGACTCCATGTTTGACGTCCTCTGCGTGCTGGTATAAGGGTTGGGCCCCCAAGACCTTGGGCAGCTCTACTCCTATGGCTTTCCTGGTCTTAGGCCACACTTTGGCTCTCCCAGGCTGGGTTTGCAAGCTTGTAGCTCCACAATTCTGGGGTCTCCATGACAGTCCCATTCTCACCTCTCCACCAGGCATGGTGCTGATGGGGTTTCTCTGCTGCATCTCCAACCCCACGTTTCTGCTCTGCATTGCTCTAGTGAAGGCTCTACATGGTGACTTCACCCAACACATCTCTCTCTGGACACACAGGCTTTTCCATATATCCTTTGAAATCAGGGTGGAAGCTCCCAAGCCTCCACAGCTCTGGCATTCTGCGAGCCTGCAGACCTAACACCACATAGATGCCACCAAGGCTTCCGGCTTGTATTTTCCAAAGCTGTGGGTCCAGCCACACCTGAGGCCCATTTAGCCACAGACGGAGCAGCCGGAGCAGCCAAAGCAGCCAGGGTGCTGGTAGTGGAAGCAGGTTTCTGAGGTGGCCCTGGGCAGTGAGCCCATGGAGGGCATCTCAGGCCTATTCCCTGAGACCATTCTGTTTCCCTAGGCCTCTGGGTCTATGATGGAATTGTTGGCCCCAGAGGTTTCTGCAGGGCTTTCAGGGCCTTTTTCTCATTCTCTTGATAATCTCTTTCTTTTTGTACTCATCTCCTTAGCAAATGATTTCTGGGCTGCACCATTGCATTTTTCTCTTGAAAATGCTCTTTGCTTCTCTACCACATAGCTAGGCTGCAAATTTCCTAAATCTTTGTGCTCTGCTTCCCTTTTATTTTTATTTTTTTAAAAAAGGATGACTGGTAAGGGGATCTTAACCCTTGACTTGGTGTTGTCAGCACCACGCTCTCGCATGAGAGCTAACTGGCCATCCCTATATAGGGATCTGAACCCGTGGCTTTGGTGTTATCAGCACCACACTCTCACTCTCGCAAGTGATCCACAGGCCGGCCCTCTGCTTCCCTTTTAAATTCTGGCTTTATGTCATGCCTTTGCTGTCATAACTCAGCATAGGCTGTTGCAAGTAACTATGCAGCTTCCTGAATGCTTTGCTGCTTAGAAATATTTTCTGCCAGATACCCCAGGTTTGCACCTTGAAGTTACACATTTCATAAAAGTTTTGGGCACGAACAGAATGCAGTCAAGTTCCTTGCTAGTTCACAGCAAGGGTGGCCTTTGCCCCAGTTTCCAATAAACTCCTTATTTCTATCTGAGACCTCCATAGAATGGTCTTTACAGTCCATGTTTCCATAAGCATTCTGATCACCACCTTTTAACCAGGCTCTAAAACATTCCAAACTTTCTCTTGTTTTCTTGTCTTCTGAGTCCTCCAAACTCCTCCACCTTTTGCCCAACATCCAGTTCCAAAACAGTTTCCACATTTTCAAGTATCTGTTATAAGCAACACCCCAGTTCTCTAGTACCAATTTTCTATATTAGTCCGTTTCTGTTGCTAATAACAAAGTACACAGAACTGGGTGATCTGTAAGAAAACAAAACTTATTGCTTACAGTTTCAGAGGCTAGGAAGTCCGAAGTCCAGGGAACACATCTGGTGAGTCTTCTTTGGTGGTGGCTTTACAGCAATGCAGGGGTCTCACATGGCAGAAAATGGGACAGCAGAGAGAGACTAACCTCTCATATGCTCTTCTTATAAAGTCCTCAGAACCATGCCCCTTACTAAGATTATTAATCCATTCACTATAGCATGGTTCTACAATCTAATCACCTCTTCAAGCCTCCACCTTTCAATTACCATAATAGGATTTCCCACCCTCAACAGTTAAAGTGGGGATTAAGCTTCTAATATACAAATTTTAGGGACACAGTTCAATCAATCCGCAGCAGGACTAAATCCCAAGGTTTCTTCCAGCACAATTACTATGACTGAAGGTGGGTGGAAGAGGGGATATTTTCCTGTTTTAACTCTAAATTTGCTTAAGATCAAAAATAGGATGTATGTGTAAATGATGGAACAGTTATCTCTGGCCTCTTCTGGAGGTGGTTTCACACCACACTATAATTTTCTTCTCCTAACGCTCAAGAGTTTACTGGCAGGTGAGCCTTTTGAGGAGTCGAGGAGTTTTGGGGGATTTTGGCTTAATTTTAGTCTTTTAAAATATCATTTAGTTCTTTTTTGCACTACATGCTGTACTGGGTGCATATTATGTTTTACTTATTCCTCACCACCACCGTGAAGTGGAGGTTGTATTTTTGTGTTATATAACAGGGACTTGGAGGTTAGATAACCTGCCCAAATTTAAACCACTAAAATGTGGAAGGCTGGGATTTATTTTTGTTTTTTGGGATTTTTTTGTATTATTTTTAATTATTTTTTACGTTTTTTTCTTTCTTTCTTTTTTTTTTTTTTTTTTGTTTTTATGACTGGCTGGTATGGGGATAAAAACCCCTGATCTTGGGTTAAAGGCTGTGCTCCAACCAACTGAACTAACCAGCCAGCCCAGAAGGCTGGGATTTGAACCCGTGTATATCTCTTATCTAAGCCAGCACTGTTTCTATTCCATTATTTTTATTTGGAAAAAACTCTAACCCCTACCACCTGTATTTAGGATAAGCTCTTACCAAAAGGCATTTGGACAAGGCTTTCTGTAGGTGAAGCAACTGCTCTCTGAAAGCTCTGGAGGCAAAGGACGTGCCAGTGACAGAAAATTGCTGATCTGGCTGACGATAGCAGAAGTCAGTTGATTGTCAGTCTAGAATTTTATGGTCCTCATTTAACCTCATTAATTGCAAAACAACTGCAAATAACTATTTCTACTTTATGGAGGACCAGAGAGGCTGCCTCTTTCCTAAGAGGCCATAACAAGGCTAGGACTCAAACCTAGGAGGATTTCTGACCACAGAAACAAATGTCCTTTCTCGCACTTGCCACCTGACAGTTACTTTCCCACATGACTTTGCAGTGGAGTCTAGGCCTGATGTGAAACTCTCCCCAGAGAAAAGTGTGCTTTTAATTATATTTTGTGTGAAGTTGAGAGAAGTCATGTACATGGGGCATTCTACTCATAACTGCATGTTTAATATTTTAGTGGCTATGCTTTGTTTGTAGATAATTTTGTTAGTATTTAGAAAGACATTGGTATTTTGAGCCAGTATTTCCTTCTTTTAACATACAAGGGTGATTCAGAAAGTACATGGAAAGATTCATATTATCTTTTAATTCTATTTTTCCATGAATTTTTTGAAGTACTCTTGTACGTGCTACCAGTTGAGAAAATAATTGATTCTGTGCACAGATGCATACTTTATAAGATATATGTACAATCGATAGGTAAGTAATGTAACCATGTGCATTCTATCCAAATTCCATAGCATCATTTAGGGCCATTGCAAACATTCAGAAATGTTTTACATTTTGAGATGAAAAGAAGCAGTTTGTAAGACATATGCTTTACAGGTAAGGAATCAATTCTTATTCTTTTTATGTGCCTTTCAAAGTCACAAAAATGAAAATCCTTAATATCTCATAAGTACCATGTAATATCTCTGAACTTAGACATGCACCAGGCATGCGCAGGTGCATGCACACGTGTGCACACACGCATGGACACACACACAGCATCAGTCAACTTGGGAAGTACAGGCAGCGTGAGATGAGAACACTGTGGGTATAGCTGTTTGCAAACATCATTAGTAATGTAGCCTATGTGCCTTTTTAAAGGATATAAACTCCATGCAGTGTCCAGAACAAGAGAGGCAAGCAGCCCCACAGGAAGCTGCTGACGGTACTGTGTTCAGGAATGGCCACTATACTGAAGATGAATGTCCTCCCATGAACATTCTGGTATTTGGGTTCAGATGGGAGGGGCACAATCCCAAATGAAGCGGTTTTGTAACCATTTCCTATGAGAAACTGGAAGAAACTAGGGGAGTTTGGCTGAATGAAGAGAAGCAGCAGGTTCACATCCTGGCTGTGTTCACGCATATTAAGGGCTAGTGTAGAGAAGAGAGGTTGTGCTGGTTCTTACATCTCCTAAAAGCAGAAGCGACACCAGTGAGTGGAAGTTAGAAGTAGGCAGACTTGTAGCCAAGGGAAAGGAAGGTGTTCCAATAATCAGAATAGTTTCAAAATGAAATGGGCTGTGGGGTGTAGGCACGCAGATGCTGTCTGACCATTCTGAGGAAGGTGGTAGGAAGGGCTCCCAGAGAGGACAGATGGTGTCCTGTGACCTCCAGAGCAGATTTTTTTTTCTCTATCTCAAAGATTCTAATGTTAAAAATAGTGCATACCTTAGTTGTGAAAAGCCCTCCCAGGTTTCTCCTGCTCGAGCCAAGCTCACATGCACGATGCTAGTCTCTTGATGATATCTCCGCAACATGTGTATTAAACAGACACATCCCTGTATTGAGGCTCATGTGGGTAAATCTGAAGAAGCGAATTTTTAAACTTTTTCTAAACTTTGTCTCAGGAGTGCGAGGACATGTGTAATCTCCCCTGACAGGAGGCATCCTTCCCTGAAGAAGCTCTCTTTTTAATCCTGACATGTCTAAATTTGTCCTTGTCCACTTGATTTTCAGTATGCCATGTTTCTGTCGCTGGTGTTCCTGGCTGAGCTCGTAGCTGGCATTTCAGGGTTTGTGTTTCGCCATGAGGTGAGTATACACAAAGTGGAGAACTCGGTAAAGGGGTCTTTGTTTTTTGTTTGTGTGTTGGCAGCTGGCTAATACAGGAATGGAACCCTGGACCTTGGTGTTATCAGCACCTTGCTCTAACCAACTGAGCTGACCAGTTAACCCTAAAGGGTCTTTGAGAGGAGGATTTTTGAAACCTCTTGAAATGTGTAAAGGGTGCATATAGGCTAGCTGGTTTCCCCAGTGGTGTTACTATATTCCAAATGTCATGTAATATAACCTGAAATTTCAATGAAATTCTAAAAGCAGGAATTTTGCCAAACTCAAAACCTTCATTGTTGATTCTTACTCTATTTCTCTGTGTAGCTATTGCATAAAATGATTCTCAACCCTGTTTTAGAACACGGACCTTCGATATAGATTAAATATTCCTTTAAAAATAGCTGCTTCAAAAAGGCATGGTGTGTATCTGTATAACAAGATTTCCGAGACTGCAAAGGCAAGCCGAACTAATTGTCTTGCTGCCTTGTAAATCTATTATTGTACCCTGTAAATAGCAGTAAAGCCAGAAGTAGATATGTATGTATTAGAAAGGAAAAAACCCAGTAAGCTATAGGGGGAAAGCACACTGAGGCGGAGTGCTACTATGCCTCTTGAAAGTCTGGCATCGTCCCTTCCCAGGCCCTGCTATTGTGCTTGGCCAAGTTCAGTTCTCAGTGAGCTTGCCTTATGTCCTCTCTGCTCCCTTCCCTATTGTCCTGGTTTTTCTCTGTACTGGAGGCGGCATCCCAGATGCCAAAGCTAACTTTCAGAACCCGTTTCATATGGATACCATGTCTGGAATTAGAGCCCCCATTCTTACTCTCAGGCTAGGTAAAACCTGATCAAGTCCTGGTCTTGACAACCCTAATAGGTGCCCCACGTACGTGTGCGAACACCAGGAGAGGCATGGCTTGCTCCCGCCGGAGCCCTTGCCCACTGTCCCTCGTGTGTGCTGCTGGGACTGTGCTCCACAGAGGGGTTTTTCTCTTAATGATTCCTGCTCCCTAGGGCCTGGAAATCTTTATCTACCTGATCTCTTTTTATCTGAAGCACATAGGGGTTCAGTGGGCAGGGAGTACAATGCCACTCTGACCACCAGGACTGGTCTTGAGTTTGGTTAGACAGTCGAACTCACATGATGACAATAGGTCACATTTAGCACCATTTACTCAGAATGATATCGTAAAGGAAGCACAGCTTGCCTGCAGGGCAGCAGTGGTCTTGTTCTTCAGCATGAGTTCTCAAAGTGGTCCGGGGCCTATTCTATGTATAGCCCCCTGCCCCAAGAGACAACCCTGGGGCAGTGAAATGAGAGGACACAGCTGGGTGTGTAGCCACCTTGGCTTAAAGGCTTCCTGCACCTAGTATCTCTTTATCTCTTGTAACTCTCCTATGGACACAGCTTCCAGTATTTCAGAAAGGAATATGCTTAGTTAAGAGAGTCACCACACTTAGCCCTAAGCTTCCCACCAGGTACTTAACTGTCATTTGCTGTCCTTCCAATTTGGAGGCATTTCTCCAATCAAGTGTCAGTTTTACCATAAGCCAGGTTGCCTGGTAATACATCTGACACTCCACCTTCATCAGGTTTCCATGGGAACACAGTTTGAAAGTTACCTGAGTCAAAAAACATACAAACAAACTCAATTTCTCCCACTATACTCTCACGACATGCTTCTGACACCAGATGCGGGCATTTCTCCCCACCAGCAAGCAAGCAAGCAGTTCTGCAGCGGACACCAGCTGGGTGTCTTCTAATTCAGTTAAATTATGATACTGTATCTGGAGGTAGCGTCAGGTCACACAGGTTGAGGACTCAGTCTACAAGACTGCCTCCCACTTCTGATACCAATCACAAGTCCAGCTTGTTTTACCTGTGCTTCTTACCAACCAGCTATAAATCAGGGTTCCTACGATTCCCACGTTGGGTTCAGTTGATTTGCTAGAGGGACTCATGGGACTTGGGGAAAACTTTACTTATGTTTACTGGTTTGCTGTAGAGGATATTACAAAGCATACAGATATAGAGATGCATAGGGTGAGGTGTGGGGAAAGGGACACAGAGCTTCCATGCTCTCTCTGGGCACGCCACCCTCCACGAACCTCCATGTGTTCAGCTATCTGGAAGCTCTGTGAACCCAGTCCTTCGGGGCTTTTAATGGAGGCTTTATTACTTAGGCATGATTGATTATATCACTGGCCATTGGCGATCAACTTAACTTTCAGCCCCTCCTCCCTCCCTGGAGGTTAGGGGGTGCAGCTGAATGTCTCAACCCTGTAATCATGCCTCGGTCTTTCCAGTGATCAGCCCCCATCTTGAAGCTATCAAGGGGCCCCAGCCACCAGTCATCTCATTACGATATAGTAGAAGACACTTATCACTTTGGAGATTCCATGGATTTTAGGAATTGTATACCAGGAAAAAGGGAGGAGGACTAAGTATGTATTTCACAATATCACATTACCCCAAGGTCAAGTGCATTCACAAAGAAGGAGGAAGGGTTTGTTAACCCTTTATTAACAACAACAAAAAATTCTTGTCCTTTAGCCCCCCTTCCCCTTTTTTTTCCTCAGTAAAGGTAGGTAAGTGAAAGTTGGTTTTGCCCCAATCTCACATGGTAGAATAGGGATCCATTTTTTGGCCAAAACATCAGTCTGTCTGTCCCTCCCCCATGGCCTGTGCTTTATCATTCTTCCTCACAAGGGCAGATAAAGTTACAGAAAAAAGATGGGAACTAATCAATTCATAGAAAATAACTAGAAAACACAGGCCTGAGGTTTGGCAGCTCAGCATCACAGCCCTTCCAGAAACCAATTAGCCACTCTTGTGGGTCATTTAACAGGCCAGGCTTCCTCAGGATTGGGAGCGAGGGGAACAATTTTTAATTCCTGAGATAATAAACAATTGGTGAATTTTCTGAACTCTATTGTTTCAGAAAATGGGGCCCTGCACTCCCCCCAGCCTACATCTATTCAGAGACTTTCGGAAGAGGTCTATCTTGGGGTAGAAGTTGGTATTAATCCGAGTTCGTTTGGGCTGCAGTGGACTGAAACCACATCGTTCCTTGTCTTCCACAGATCAAGGACACCTTCCTGAGGACTTACACGGAGGCCATGCAGAATTACAATGGCAATGATGAGAGGAGCCGGGCAGTGGACCACGTTCAGCGCAGTGTAAGTTTCAGGGAGATCTCTAAGGAGATCGACAGGGAGCTGCCTGTGAGGTCTGTGCTTAGACTTGTGGGCTGGTAGTAGGTTGGGCTAGTAGCATTTGCTGTTGATTCCTCTTCTTCAACTCATGGTTCAGTTCCATTTCCAAGAGTAGACAACCAGTACTTGTCCAAGCTGCAGTTATCCAGGTAATTAGTGTCAAGGAGGAGCCTTGCATCGATAAGGGTTGTGAAGGTGCCAAGGACAGCTCATTTGCCTTCAAGATCTGAATCCCTGGAAAGGAGTTAGGCAGTGGGCATTTTACACCCTTACTTAGAGTTGGCTCCCAAAGGCTGGCTTTCTGGAATCAGTGTGTTCAGGCTGGACAGAGAGCTTGGGTGAGCTGCGTTCACTGGCTAAGGCAGTGTTGTGGGGGTGGAGAGTAAACCTAGAAGAAACTGAGGATCTGTCAGGGATGTGAATGGCCTGGGCTGCCTGGTGCTTTGCAGAAGATATGAGGGAAATGGAAGAGAGGTTTCCTGCCCGGAGGTGCTCAGTGTGGCGGTTGCTGGTGCTCAAGCCTGACTGCCCATCAGGATCACCTGGGGAGGTTTTTGACTTTGTTTTGTTTTGTTTTGTGTTTTTTTTTTTTTGTCTGCCACTGTAGAACAAAAGCAGCAACAGACAATATATAAATGAGTAGGCATGGCTATGTCCCAGTAAAGTTTATTTACAAAAACAGGCAACTGAAGGGCTGTAGTTTACTAACACCAACTCTCTCTCTTCCTCTATGTCTCTTTTTTTTAAAACTATTTATTTACTTATTAGTATAGATCTAGTGGAGACCTTTTTAAAGCCATGTTTGCCTCCGCTCCCCCATCAGCAATCCTGATTTACATGATGCACACATCTTTAACAGTATCCGACTCACATAGGTGATTTTGATGCTGAGACAGGACCTCCACTTTGCTTGGTGGAGGTGGTAAGAAGGCCAAAACGATATATAATCTAGGACTCACTTCCTTCTCTGACTCCAAATGACCATCGAAGTGAGTATAATTGTTAGTGGAGCTTCAGTTCATCTTTACTCAGCAAAGCTGTGCATGTCTTAGGAGCCTGGCCTGTGTTTCTCTTTTAAAAGTTGCACGGCAGTGACTGAGGAGACCACAGTGTCTTTGATCCATCACTCTTTGATTCTTTTCCTTTCTCTGTTAATAGCTGAGCTGCTGTGGTGTGCAGAACTACACCAACTGGAGCACCAGCCCCTACTTCCTGGAGCATGGCATCCCCCCCAGTTGCTGCATGAACGAAACTGACTGTAACTCCCAGGATCTACACAATCTGACCGTGGCTGCCACCAAAGTTAACCAGAAGGTACCTGCTTCTTCTCAGCCCTGATGGGACCAGTGGTGAATGTTTGGAAAGGCTTTTGTGTTTCTGTGAAATTATGACAAGTAGATTAGAAATGGTACTACAGCAGGATATCAAGAATTTTCCTTTGTGGTCATGGATTGCCTGGGAGAGGCACTTGGGCCTGCTCGCTCCCAAAAGAGGAAGCTGTAACTTAGATCAGCCTCTCATTCCTCTCCCACAGCAAGAATCTACCAGGCACAGTTATGAAGGCTTAGCAAATGCTTACTGTTAACCCTGATGCTTATGTCAGAGAATGTTGGCTTTCTTCTTTCTGGGTGTCTTTCTTCTGCATAATATACCATCTAAAGATGAAATTATTCACAGCTGGGTGCCAGCTTCTGGAACGAAGAGGGGAGTACAGTTGACAGACAGCATCTGCTTCTTCTAAGAGGATGGCCTTTATTTTAGGGAGTTCACTGCCATAGGAAAAGAAATCAAATCACTGTCAACATTCTGACTCCTGAAGAAATTAGAGGGGGGGAAAAAAGATGACTAAAAGAAATTTGAAAGTTAGAATATAGTGGAAATGAGGGAAATGAAGTTTTTGTAGTCAGAAAAAAGGAAAATCAATTCTCTGTACTCCACCTTACAGAGAATACGATGAAGAGATGATACAACTGCATGTGAAGGCTGTCTGCATTTTTAAATGTTTAGAAAATACCATATATAAAATATGTATTGGTAAAACAGAAGGGAGGGGGGAAACCTACTATTGTTTACCTGTGGTTATTCAGCCATGGGGTAAATTTTCTTTTCATTCTAAAATAAAATTCTATTCTTCTGATGTCTTCAAAATTCTATGTGGTCTGGGCCAACTACTGAATCAAATTCATAGAGAGAAGATGGTCATTCTCTCAAGATTAGAATGTTACGAGGTGGTATCTGTATTTTGCCTATTTAATGTTGGTAATTGTAGCATAAATGCTGCAAGACCTTGTTGCCATTATGGAAGCTTATTTTGTCATTCTAGGCTTACTACTTTGTTATTGATGTAGTTCAGTAAAATTCAGTACTGATAGCTTCTTGTCTTAGCTAAGAGTCCATCTGTTCCTACTGGAATTTTCTTATGAACCCAAACTTTGCAGCCTCCTTCACTTTTTTTTTTTTTTCCCCCTGACCGGTAAGGGGATCACAACCCTCAGCAAGGTGTGGTCTGCACCATGCTCAGCCAGTGAGCACACTGGCCATCCCTATATAGGATCTGAACCCGTGGCCTTGGTGCTACCAGCGCTGCACTCTCCCGAATGAGCCACGGGGCCGGCCCCTCCTTCACTTCTTATTAGTTAATAAGGTGACTGCTGGCTTCTTCATGGACATCCCCATTGAGCACTCATTTGTATCATTATGCTGCCATTTTATGAAGTGCCAAGCATACCTGGCATGTGCTGGATGCTCCAATTTATGGAAGGCAAGACATGCTCTATGGCAGGTGAGATATTTGGCATAACAAAGCTTCAGGAGGTCATTCGTAAAAGCAGCACCCTTCAAATTTGGTGGAAGTCTTTTCTTTTTTTTTTTAAATCAAAACTTCTTCCTCTTTTGTTAAAGATGAGGACCCAGAAGTCAACATTACAGGTTCTGGAGTCAGACTCCAGTTTAAATTCTGGCTAATCCACTTGCTGATTGTGTGATCTTGATCAAGTTACTTGACCTTTCTCAGTCTTGCTTCTCCCATCTGTAAAATGGGGATAATAATAGTTCTTGCCCATTAGGGTTGATATGAGGATTGAATGATATAAAGTATCTAAAGCACTGTGCCTGGCACAGATTAAGGATGTGATAAATGTTAACTATAATGATGTTAACTGTAATGTAAATGTAACGATGATGATGGTAAAGTTTGTCTTCTACTATATCATATTGCCTATTATTAGAAATGATGCAGCAGATCCTTGTAGGGAAAATGTTTTGTTAATATCTAAAGGCAAGTTTAGAGACATATCCTATACTGCATCTATAATCCTTACAATTATTTCCAGAAAGAAAGATAAGGTAGCATTTTTTCATTTCGTTGATAACCTACACATTGACCTTACTCCTTGCCTCCCTGCTACAATCCTATTTTATATTTCCCTGGGCACCTCAAGTACTTGGAAGAGGTGCTTAACTTCTCTCTCACTTCCTTTTTACTCTCCAACCTGGCTCCCTCAGAGGAGAAAAAGTGAATGAAAACAGAAGTTCGTTTACTAAGATTCATTAGACATTCTCATTTAATGCTCATATGAACCTCTGAGACAAATTGTTTCCCCTGTCTGAGTCTCAGACACCTCATTTATAAAAGGTGGGAGATTGGGATGGGGTGGAGATAGTAGTAGTAGATGCTCGTAAATGTTAGCCCTGCCTCTGTAAGATCTGTGCCCTGGGCACAAATCCTACACGCCGAAGTGACTCGCCTCACAGAGACCACAAGACAAGAGATCGCTGCAATTTAAGCAAGAGGTGTTTATTCAGCATATGCTGGGTCACGTTTTTCATAAGCGGCCCCGAGCTCTTTGACATGAGAGTTTTTATACACTTTCTTTGGACAAAGACTTTTTTTTCATGGTCAGGCTTAACAGGCTAGCCCCCACCGATAAGGGACTGTTTAATTTTTTTTTTAATCACTTGGGCTCTGCCAGGTGTCCTGAAGATAAGAGGGCTGGTTAGTCCTTGAGGCCGGCTGGCCCCTGCAATGTGTGTCTAGTTCTGCTTTGAGCTCTAAAAAGCTGTTTTACTTAAAATACCTTTAGAAATGTTTACCTCGTACAGTGCTTACAGGAATAATTTGTGGAGGTTAGCTTAAAGTTCATATTTCTCTGTTACAATTTGTGCAGGCTAAAGCTACATAGGCAATAATATGGGTTAGAGTCACAATTTTTATATCACCTCCCTACTGACTCCTTCCCCCATGAGCCTTAACTACTGTTGCATTCTAGTTATATGCAATCTTGTGAGTTAGAATAAATGGATCATCCCTGTAGATTTTTTGGTGTCTTGAACCCTACACTCTGATAGCACAAAAAGATGATTCTTGGCTCTTACCTGGAAGCCTGGAACCTACCTTGCACAGATAACTGGGAGAGAGCAGGAGGGAGGTGTGAACACTTAAACCGAATATTTATTGTTCGGTCTGCGGGACAGGTTTATTTTGGTTTGGCTAGCAGAATGATGGAATGTCTTCAGGTCTGGTTGGCTAATAGCATTGGCTGAGCCCCTACTCCATCAGAATTCTTTGACAGTTTGTAAGAGCAAGGGAAAGAGAGAGAGTTATTCTGGTTGGCAGGTACAGAGAAGCCTACTCCTAATAGTTAACTCTGTCACTTGCGGATGTTTTTTCAGTGGTGACTGTTGATTTAGACATGTTGAGAGGGTGAGCAAATTAAATGTTCTGTTTTCGACTGTTTCCTAGGATACTTAGCAGGTCTCTGTAGATTTATCTCACATCTGACAACCAGGTTTTCATATTAGGAAATTGAGAGAGATTGTTGTGGGTAGATAAGATCATGGTTTAGAGGAGACCTTAAGGTTGAATGCATACATGGCCTGTGGCTATAGTATCAAAGCAGTTCTTGCAGCGGATCTATGGTGAGACCTGGAAAATGGGCTTTTAGGTTTACATGATGAATGATAGAGAAAAATCCAGAGATGGAAAGCATTTATTTCAACATTGGTCTTCTATGAGGGTACTTCAGAAAGCTGACTGAAAGATTCGTTATTATTTTTTCATGAACTTTGTGAAGTACACCCTCATATTGTTTAAATAACAAAAAAGATAAATCCCTTTCATCTTCCCATTTCAAGTAATCCTATAACAGATATGATTCATTAATTTGCTTTTTTATTTGGAGTAAAAAATAGTGAGGGAACTTTTTTAATAGAGGAGTGCTTAAGCTTTAATGGGCATGTGAAGCATCTGGAGATATTGTTAAAATTCATTAAAAATTCATATTAAAAATGAATAACCCAGGGATTTGGCAGATTCTGCTCCAGGAGGTCTGGGGGGGAGGAGCCTTTAATTCGACATTTCTAACAGGCTCCCAGGTGATGTGATGCTGCTCATTTAAGAACCACACACTGAGGAGCAAGGTTTAAAGAGAACTATTTTGCCACAGTTTTTTTTTTTTCTCTTTTTTTTCCCCCTGGTTTTTCTTACTGGCTGGAGTGGCCTTGTCAACAATAATGTGACTGACTCTAAAATCTCCTAAAATGGAGTAGAAATCATACTTTAGAAAAATGAATATTCAGCTTAGGTGTGGAATTGAAACTCACAGAAAAGAAATCTATGCTAAACTGTTTTCGCAGAGTAAGAAAACAGCCCACCTTGCTTCTTTCTGAGTTGAGTGGTTAGGTGGATTTGCGTTTCCATATCTTGAGGTGCTGGTCTGTACCTCATTCCTCCCCCGGATCATTACTGTGAGAAGTTACAGTAATGATGGACAGCACAGCATGACAAAACAGTCTTAGCTACTACCATTTGGGAAAGTGTTAGAATATCCACTTCTCTTCCTGCTTTGTCTTCTTCCTAACCCAAACTCTTCTCCCTTGTACTACCTTTTGAAAAATAGTGTGATATATAGTTTCACTAATAAAAGTGAAATTAGCAAGCTTCTACTATAGAGAATCAAATTTCAGAACTCCCCACAAGCATTAATATATTTCCTTTCCCACCCCACTCTGCCTTTCAAATTTGCATCAGATAACCAAGGAGTATAATTTGTCAATTGCATTGAAAACACGTGGCAAAGCACTGCTGGTAAGGTAATGCACATTTTTCTCTGCAAACAGACTGTGAATATAAAAAAAAATATCACTTAGAAGATACAGCATTGGCAGAATTTTCACTAGCTATGAGAATTGTTAAATTTTGAATATAATAATGAGAAACATGGTTAGGTTTTTTTGGTTGTTGTTCTTCAGATGTTATTACAACTTAGTGTGCCTTTCTTGATAAACAAGAACCACCTTAACCCTGTTTATAAAATTAATGTCCTTACTTTTCACAGATTTTATACATTCAAGTTGAAGCCGTTTTTCAGAAAACTGGAAAAAGACTATGCCGTTCAAGACTCTAGGTGGATTTGGCCAGTTCCAAATAAATATACTTACACACACACACACACACACACACACACACACACACACACACACACACACACACAAATAATCAAAAACCTCCCCAAATGAGCACATCATACCACATGGCTTTATTGGTGAGTTCTACCAACCATTTAAAGAATGAACATGAATATTTTGTAAAGTCTTCTAAAGGAGAGAATAGAAGGGAACTCTGCCTAAAAACTCTATGTGGCCAGTACTACTCTGTTAACAAAACCTGTAAAGACATGACAAGAAAAGAAAAGTAAAAAACAATGTTCCTTATGAATATAGATGCAAAAACCTTCAACGAAATATGAGAATTTCATCTTTTGATAGCATATTCATTATTACAAGTCATAATTATTCTTTGTGCCCCTTACGCAATTTCCCTCTAAACACCTATCTCCCTTTCCACCTCTAGTAACCATAGATTTCTTCTCTCCTGAATGTTCAATGTATTATTGTGGTGTCGGTCTCTCTTTCTCTCCCCCTCCCTCCCTCTCTCCCCCTCCCTCTCTCCCCCTCCCTCGCTCCCTCACATGCTCCCTCACATGCTCCCTCACTGCTGTTTGACGTAAAAGTCATTTTCTGCCTTTACATTATGGGTGATCCACAAAATTTAGTGTTTTGTTCCTGGATTGTGTCGACAAAATGTAATCCAGAATAACAGCAACAAAAAAACTTGTTCAGCAACATTGTTAAACTCCAACCACACCATTCATTTTACAGAATGGAAATTAATTAGTTTTAAACTAACATTGAAATTGGTGATAATTATTGGTTTAAATCACAACATTTAAAGATTGTATATGTTCAAGAGAAATTCACTTTATTTTATAGATAAAATTATTGCCATCCAGAAAGGGGAAGTGACTTGTTCAAGGCCACATAGTAAATTTTTGGAGGAGATGACTCTAGAACATAAATTTTTTCCTATTAAAGAAATCTTAAGTCTCCTTAGGAAGAATCCTAAAACTCCATAAAGTTGGCAGGTATCCAAACACCTCCCTCTAGCCAGATGATTTCATTTTGTTTATCCAAGATTTTATCATTCATTGTTAAAATGCTAGTAACTATGTTTATAATGCTGAGGTTTCCTGTTCAAGAATGTGGGATGCCTTTTCATCTGTTCACATTGACCTCTGTAACTCTGTGGTGTTTATTTTGTAGATTTTACAGATTATTTGCTAAATTTAATCCTACTGCTGAAGTATTTGTGGATGGAATTCCGCTTCTGGGATTTGTTTTAAAATAATCCAAGCAAGGGATGGGAATTGGAGAGATTGAGATAAAACAAAATTGGCTATATGTTGGGATGTGAGGGGGCTGGGCACATGGATGGGGGTTCATTGCAGTACTTTTTTCTATACTTTTTTTGTATGTTTGAAATTTTTGTTCATTTTGTTTTAATGTTTGAAAAAAATGCTAGTAAATTCCTAGAGAGTTACAATCATATTTGCTAAATTAAAGTTGGAGTATGTGTAAGAGTGTTGCAAATGCAGGTAGTTGGACCTGGCCTGGGTAAAACGTGTCTCTGAGGACTGTGTGTCTCTGTTTCCAGGGTTGTTATGATCTGGTGACCAGTTTCATGGAGACCAACATGGGAATCATCGCTGGAGTGGCATTTGGAATTGCATTCTCCCAGGTAGCTCATATAAGGCCTAGTCTGGCCTTTCCCCTGCATTCTGCTCTAGTTTGCCTCCCTGGCTCCAGATTCTCAGCCTGCCTTCCCTATGCCTTGGGGAAAGTTGATAGATGGGGTCAGAGCTCCTTACTCGTTAGTCCTCAGGTCATCTGTTTATTGATTTTCCTTTTTCAACTTAAATGAAGTTTTATCATCAAGGGAATATCGGTTACAGTTCAACTAATGACTAGCTCCAGAAAAACAACTTGTTTCTTCTATAGGTCAAATGGAGGTTAACTGAACAACATGCTGGCTTAATTGGAGCATAAACAACTCAAAACATCAAATGGTTGATCTGGATTTGAGGAAGGCTTGTTTCCTGGTTGACCTGTCCCCTCTTTGTTCTTAGTTCCTGTGGATTATGCATGAAATTTTTCCCTTTAAAGAAAGCCTAAATTTAGCAAACTTCATCTTGTGATCATTATTTTAATCTCCAGGTTTGACTATTTTGAGAGGAAACCAAATTTTTGTGTATTAAATTTTATATCCCTTCATCTCTACTTACCTTCTAAAAAATAATAGAATTATGCAAATTGAGTCAACTACACATACTCAAGGATGGAACAAGATTAAGCTTAATCTAAAATTTAGCCCACCTCCCCCAGGCAGGGTACTGTCCCACAGGCTTCTGATCTCCCAGCCAAATGATATAACCTTGCTTTAATATTGCTATGGGTAGAAAGATTGACATGTATACTTAGCAACTAAATAAAAACTTTGTTTATGTTTAACTTAAATTTTTTTCAGACCAACAGATTGATTTTTTAAACAAAGCTCAATTAATGTTGTCTCAGTAATATTTCCACAGCTCTAATCTTTATATAGGCTATCTCATATTGTCTGTACCTCTGTCACTCCTACTTAGCAATCCAGATACACTTTAATGTTAATCAAGTCTGTTCCTAAAACATTTTTTATTGAAATATGGAATGTACAGTAAAGTACATAAATTATAAGCTTACAGCTTAATAAATTATCACAAAATGAATATACCTGTGCAACCCTCACTTAGATCAAGGAATAGAACCTTAGCCTGATAGTTTGTTTTTGCAAGTAGGCAACTGAGCCTTAGAAAGGTAGAAATCTTTTCTTCCTAGCAGTTACAAAAACCATTGTGATATTTCATCTCACTAGATTGTGTGGACTCAGCCAACATGAGTGTGTTTCTTATTACGATTTCAAAATTCTTTTTTACCATGCTTTGTTTTTGTGTAGCCTGTGGAGTGATTTAAACCTCAACATGCCAATACACAGACAAACCAGAGTGGGGTTACAAACAATGCCGAGGAACTCCAGACACTGTTCAAAAGCACTTGCTGCCCTGAACTTTCTTCCGGTTGCTGTAGTATTTCAATAACACTCAGTAACATTGTCATCTGTTATGACTGGGGAACATTTTAGAAGATCCCCAAACTCATGAATGAGGCAAATGTGCAGGATACACTTGATATACAGTTTCTTTAACACATGTATGTGTAGCATTGGGTTGTTAACATGGAGAGGGCAGACTTATGTTTGCTATTTGAGGAGGACTGTCCACTTGGAGGAAAAAATATTGCTGACATCTTCCCTAATGGCTATTCTAGAACCATAAAGGGACATGATGCCAATACTGTATGTGAGGAGAAGAGAAACTCAAAGAACCTGGAATCTCATGTTTGAAACATCTTATCCAAAAATATTCACATGTGGCCATGAGTGTGTGTGTGATGGGGAGGTGGATCCTATTTTCATGAGTGAGATGAATCAGGTCAAATGGATCCTTCTCCAAGTCATGAAGAACCTGATTAATACCTCTCTTCTACTTCTCTCCCACACATTCCTATGAAGGAATTTATGCTTAGACAAATGGTTATCTGGCCTGATGAACATTAATCTCTCTATGCTACCTTAAAGAAATTCCTCCCTTGGGGATTGTTGAATATGCTCTGTGGCCTTCTGGGACAGCGCGAGAGAGGAGCTTTGGCCCAAGAAAGCCCAAAACAGAAACTCTCTGTTGTGAGTTTAGGTCTCATCAAGGTACCACATAGTTGTTGGGATGAGAAAACAAAACACAATACCTAGTGGCATCAAACATCCATTACCACTCACCCATGTGGCCAGACAGGCAGGTCCAGCCAGGTAGAGACTTCAGATCTGCTGTTCTCAGCTTAGGGTAGGGAGAGGAATGGCCAGAGCTGGCTTTTACCAGCCAGATGCACTAAGAAATGCAGCTGTTTATGGTGCCAGCAGCCTCAGGGTTCTTGGAAGCTGAAGTCGGCTTCCAGATGCCAATAGACAATGGCAACTACCTATCAGATGCCTGTTCAGGAAGAATCAGCCTGTCGATCATGGTCAGTGGCCCAGAAGCAAAGCTTTTAGCTACATGTGTTCAGAAATTTTAAAGCCAGTGTCATAGTAAAACTTAGCAAATGTTGGCTGATATCGATGAATCAATTGCGTTGGCCTATGCCTTGACCTTTCTGTAATAAAGCAGGCTCTACTGATCAGAAGGTACAGAGAGGCCAAAGTGGGTAGGAGAGAACAGAGCTTTCTTTTTCTCCCTTTCCTTCACCTGCCCTCCACCTCCTCCTTGCCCTTTTCCTGGCCTGCTCTTATGACCTCCATGCTATCATATGTTGGAAGAAACTGGCCTTGCACATCTATCGTCTCAGAGATTAAAGGTGGTATAAAGTACAAGGAACCCTAAGCTGAGTCTAGCCTTTTAATAGACTGGGTAAAAACTTTGTCCCGTTAGCTAACTTAGCCAATTTAAAGCCTTTGAGTTCTGTTTTTTGCACAGCAAGGTTTTGTCAATCATTTAATACTTCTCTCCACAAACTTCCATTGTGTTTGCCCTCTCAAGGAAAAGCCCATTTGTCTAGATTTGTTGGGCAGGTTCTGCTGCCCTATAAATTTATACCAGGAGGTTGAATGTGTTTTGGTAGGTACCGCTTCCCTGCACCTTTGGCAACTTCTGTTTCACTCAAGAGGGCTTGGGGAGAGAGAGCGAGTGAACATGCACGCATGCATGTGCACACATTACCCCCACCCCAAAATGGCATGGAAGAGCCATGGAGTGTCTGGGCCTGGACACTTGTATTTGTGACACTGCTACCCGCCTTGATTTGGCCGTATGTGTGCGTGCACATGATGGGGTAGAGTGTACTCTGGGCATATGTATTTAGTACTTCTGTATCCGAGGTAAACAGACCCAGGGCTTTGCTAGACTTGGAAAATGTTAGGATAGATTAATATTCCATATCATGGAATGTCCTAGTCCTGAGTGGAGACAGTAGAGCTGTTTTCTAGAAGGGTAGGGTCGAGTGGCTTGCTTGAGGTTGGGCAGCCACTGGAGATCCAGAATTACAATTCCAACCACCTTACCTGGTCTACTGTATTATATGTTAAGGCCAAAGATCGCCCTTGTTCCTGCCTCAGGTAGCACCTAAAGGGAATTCATTTTATGCTTTTATAATGAAAGGATTCGAGTCTGTGGAAATAGAAGGAAAAAGGTACTCATCAAAAAAATACAGATCCTACATCTTCCCATCCATACACTGACCTTCACCCCTGCATGGCTTCTGCTAGGGCTGCTGGGATGATTCATTATGTGCCAATAATTCTTTTTTGGACCCTTGAGGAGACCTGTTTATAATTTCCATGTATAGGGCAGGGCAAAGCTGGGGCTAATCTTACATAGGGGAAGACGGTACAACCCTATGCTTTGTGTAGTTTGATTCTTTACCCTCCCCTAAACCTGTTTTCTTATCTGGAAAATTGGGATGGTAATATTGCACAGAGTTGTAGAAAAGACTGAATAATTTGTTATGCCTTAATGTGTTATGTACCTCTGATACTTGTTTGTTTTTTGGCTGGAATCTGATTTTTTTTTACAGTATCAAGTGAGTTCTGGTGTTTGTTGGTCCCAGAAAATGGAAGTTCTAATAAAAAGGGACAAGCTATAAGGTTCAAAGTCCTTGCACTCAATGGGAGATTTTAGTTTCTCATTTGGCAGAATATGGAGGTTGCAGCCTTGGTACCTTGGGCCACTTGGTGATAATTGCATGATACTGTGCATTTTGTGGCACAAAATGATGTTGACCAAAGCCTTGGTAGGAGACAGGGTGAGTCCAATAAGGTGATGATTTTTCCTCACCTGACAGAGGTTAAAGTTTGCATATTATGTAGCACAATTTCAATTTTAAAAAGGAAGATAACAATCAGGGACTGGAACCTTCATGTGTGGGTTAAGAGCAAGCCGAAGGGAGTTCAAGTGTTTCCCTAACCAACCAGTGGGATCTGGTGTGGTTGTAGGTGCTTCACCTGTAAGATAATGGTGACTAGGTGGACTGGATGAGTGGTTCCCTCTCCTGGAAGGCTTGGTTTCTGCGTTCCACCCTCCACAGTGTCTGACTCAGCAGGTCTGGGATGGGGCCTGAGAATGTACATTTCTAACAAGGTCGCAGGTGATGCTGATGCTGTTGGTCCTGGGGCTACACCTGGAGTGACACTGCACCAGATTATCTCTAAAGGTCATTCCTACCTCAGATCTAATAAAACATGCCCAGTTGCTTAAGGAGCAAAGACTGCATTCGCCAAGAGAAAGCTGCCTCTAGACTCAAATGCACAACTGGCCTCCTATCCAACAAATGCTGATCCTCCAGATTCATGAATGAGAATTTTGGTTTCTAATGAGCAGAACAAGATGTGCTTAAGGGTATCTTGGTAGTGGCCCACCCATTTTTATAAGATTCACCTGTGCCACAGGTTAGGTCAAGGCACAAAGGCAGGTGGAGGACTGGAGTCTCCAGAGACGATGGAGGTACTCTATTACTGTTTCCGAGACCCCTGAAAAACTAGGGGTGGGCCCTGGGTGTAGATAAGCATACTTAGGCTTAAGATATCTAAATGGTTGAGAAACAAAGAGAATTTAAAGCCCCAATTTCCCTTTCCCCGCCTACCTTTCACATACCACAACTTTCTTACCTCACTGACAAATGTAGCTGGTCAAGAATAGTTTCTCTAGTCTTATTTCAAGGAAAGAACTAGAAGTCTGTCAGTCTGGTGCAGTCAGGGTATCATACTATGTTGAGAAATCTCCCAAGTGCATGTGCTTATTGGCTTTGAATTAAATTTTGGCCTTTTAATTAGTATCTAATTCTGTTACTTAATTCCTCATTACTCTCATAACATGAACAATCTCTAATACTACTAAGTGTCAAAAGTTGTTCATCAGTGGCCAGAGTGAGCAATAGCTGGAACCTTATGGCCACTGTGAGAACCTCCAGTTGGCCCTGTACCACCACTTTGACTCCCTACAGCTTAGATCCCACAACTGAAATCACTTTTGATCTTTTTCTCTAGTGCCCTTTCCCCATTCACATACAGAAGCCCTTGGTTGTTAAAAATTATATCTAGGGATATATATATATATATATATATATCAAAACATCACATTGTACCCCACAAATATTGCAATTTATAGTCAATTAAAAATAGAATTTTAAATTAAAAAAAAATACATCTAGGGGTCAAAGGAGGGTGTAGTTCAGTGACTTGAGATTTTCGTTTTTGTTTTTCTTTTTCTTTCTGGCTATAGTTGATTGGCATGCTGCTGGCCTGCTGTCTGTCCCGCTTCATCACAGCCAATCAGTATGAGATGGTGTAAGGAGAAGGTAAGTGGCAGTGGGGAGTGGTTCATTTGGGGGATTCCCCCTTGGGACCCATACTGCCCTGTAAGTGGGCAGGAGTGCTGCCTGGTCACTTAACTACCTGATCTTGGTGACACTTGCCCATGTGCAGATATCTCATTTCCGTGGTGCTGGGGAGGAGGTGGGATCTGTGTTACTGTGAAAAATGTGGCAATTCAGCTTGTTGCCTTTTCTTCAAATCCTTATTAATTAACGTGAGTCACTTGCGTTTTAATTTCTCCCCCAGTCTTTCAAGAGCAACGGAATAAGAGACCTGTTTTAAAAAGGAACTACAGCAATCTTTGAAAGACTTCCAGAGAATGTTTAGAGCACAGTACATAATACACCTTCCCTGCTCTCCCTGTTCCTTACCCCTTCCCCTGTTCCTCATCCCTCCCCCATGTGCAACTGAATGACACTCCCTCCCAATCTCTGCTCCACCTTTCAGCCGCATTATGTGTAGTGTCAATTTTGTGAAGTCCTGTTGTGCCACAGAGTGTAGCCAGGTCCCCCTGCAGCTAGTCCTAATGAATCCCACCCCGAGGCCCCACGCGTGCCAGCTCCTCCGTGTGTACTCAGTCCTACTGCAGCTCATCATAGGTGACTGGTTATCACACCATAACTGGCCTCTCTGGGCCCTGCATGTAGTATGGGAGGCTTCCTGTGAGCTCCTCACTGTGGTTGATAAATGCCACACACCTTTATGTAGATAAGCAGACGGTAGTTATCTGTTCTTTTGACTTAATCTCTTTTGGTTTGGTTTTCCCTTTATTGAAGCTTTTTCCTACCTTCTTCAGGCTGCCTAAAACATGTAAAGAGACACATTGGTAATTGTGATGAGGAGGAAAAAACATATGTCATGCATGAAGGAAATTGTTGTTGAGCTTTAGGTGGCCTCCTTGCTCGTAATTGTTATGTACCTGGGTATGTGTAGGCAGTTCAGTGCACCTTTGCTTCTGAGTTGAAACCTGTATAATCCTGTTACAAGCTATGTTGTTGCTTCCCGTGAAGGCAATGATTTTACTTCTGTTTTTTTCCCATTTAATTGCTATTGTGTTATTTTACTTCTTCCTGTATTTGTTTCTTGAATTGACATTACAGACATTGAGGACCTCATCAGATCAATCTAAAAATGAGTGTGAAGGGGGAGCAAAAGTCAAAATATTTTTAAAAGATCTTAAAAATAATGCCTCTGTCTAGCATGCCAACAAGAATGCATTGATATTTGTGAACATTTGTGATATGTGTATTAATAAATAGAGCAATTACAAATGGCTGTGTTCTGGTTCAGTTCTTTGGTTATTACAAAAGTTTTTAAACACATGTTGCTATTCCATCTTGCTCCCCAGGGGATTGGAGACAGACCGCCTCACATACTGACACACCTCTCCACACATACTCCCACCCCACCAAAATAGCACTGGGCAGTGAAAAAGCTGAAGGGTTAGATTTTTTTTATTATGGACATTCAGAAACATGAATCATTTGTCATGAAGAGGATATATTGTTGGCTGCAGAAATAGAACTTTCATATTATTTCAGGCCTCTGAAATCCATGAAATAAATACAGAGATTTCAGCAAAGTTTTTTAAAATCTGGATTTCATAAAAAAGGAAATGACCATTGATTCTTTCCTTTATTATTTCTTTTTTTTTTGCTTACGAAGTTGACATGTTCAACCTTTATTATATAAAGTGCCTTTGGGCCCATCCCATCAGATGAACTCAGCTGTAAGCAAGGCTGGGTGATAGAGGAACGGCCCCTCGACAGTGTGAACTCCATAAGTCCATGGTACTCTCTTGAGGACACGCCCTTGGGATCAAGCCTCATGCTTGGGCACACTCAGCCATTGGCTAGACAGTACCCAGCTCCAGCTGGGCTCCCCACGGGCAATCCTAAGTAGGTAGTGTAAGGGGCTGGGGTCCATGGAGGACCAGCTTCCCCAGCTTGGGGATGCTCCCCTTCCTCTCCCACCAAATTCTGATGTTTCATCTGCAGCCCAGCTGATGTCCAGGCAGTTACTTCCCAAGCCTGCAGACCCCTGCAAGGTCTTCTCATCCTCCTGAAAACACTTGTCGGTGGTGGTCTCAGCAGAATCCTGTACTCGCTCATCTTTCTGTTCTGGATGATTTCCTTTCCCTGGCCCTTTCCCAAGTCCCCAGAGCTCTGACAATGACCCTGTTTCCTTTATTTCTAAGGAGTCTGTATTCTTCCCTTCACTCTTTCTTCTCTGGATTGGATCAAATGAATGCAATCTAGAGAAGAGATTCAGTTGTCCCAGTGTCCCAATTTATACTAAAGTATAGAATGCTTACACTCGATTTAAAGAGCATTTTAGCAATAGGTGCTGTATAATACATTATCTGTGATCAATTTTTTCCTTGATGAGTCATCCAAAAAAAATTAAAAACCCTAGTAAAAGCCAAAATCGATCTGTTCCCAAATGAGTGGATCTAAAAAGCTCTCTTCTCCGTAGAACGACCTGTAATTAGGGTGGAGATGGCTTTCTAACTATGTGCATTTTATTAGCCTGCACTCTGCATGGGGTAAACCCTACAAGGCTTACAAAGGACACTGACAAACCTTCAGATGTTCCCTCAAAAGGTCAGAATTTTTGCAGAATTAAAGAGAGCTCTTCTATGGAAAGAAACTTTTCACTTTTAAATTTCTGTTGTATCTTGAAAGGAGAGTTTTCTGTAAAATCCTAAATAGAGCCCACCTTGTGGTTCACCTTTTTGCAAACTGTGCATTTATTGGTATACTTTGGTAAGTAAGAAATCTATATACTTTCTAAATGAAAATCAGATCTCAGCATTACATACTTTTAATGGGAAACATTTGGATGGAGTTGATTTTACTTTAAAAGTACAGTATTCATGTTTCAACTCTGAATGACTTGTATGTAAAGTACATTCCTCCTTAAAATGAAATTAAGACACAAATCGAAATACTTTTTTTTTCTTTTTTTTTTTTTGAGGGATAATATTTACATATGGTAAAGGACACAAAATGTTAAGTGTACAGCTTGAATTTTTACATATGTATAAACCAGTATAACAGCCCAGATAGATACAGAACATTTTCAGCACCCCTGAAGGTTCCCTCATGCCCCTTCTCAGTCATTAACTGTGCCCGCCACCTCCCATTGAATTGTAGTAACCATTGAATTGTAGTATCATACGTTAGTTTTGTCTGTTCTTGGACTTCAGAGAAATAGAATCATATAGAGAATGGACTTTCATGTACCTGCTTTCAACATTCTGTCTACAAGAGGTAGTTACCTGGTACCTTTAAACATAGTCTCATCTTCACTGTCCTACAGGATTCCACTGTATGAATATAGCACAATTTGCCCTTTCTACTACTGCTATATATTTGGGTTGTTTTCAGGTTTGGACATTAGGAATAGAGCTGAAGTGAGCATTATGGGATGCGCTTTTGGTGACATAAACACACATGTGGAATTGCTTAGAAATAAGGTATGTTTAGCTTTAGAAGGTACTGCCTAACATTTTTCCAATGTACTTGTGCCATTTATACTCCCACCAGCAATGTAAAAAAGTTCTGGTTGTGCCACATCCTCATCAACACTTGCTATTCTCAGTCTGTTTTATTTTAGCTATTCTGTGGGTGCATAGTGGTGTCTCGTTTTAATTTCCCTTCTACGACTAATGATATTGAGCACTCAGTGGCCATTTTGATATCCTCTTTTGTGTTTAAGTCTTTTGGTTGTCTTTATTGAATTGTAGGAATTCTTTTATTTATTTTTTATATGTTTTATTTTATATTTTACGTTTTTCATTTTATATAGCAATTTTTGTACAGATGTCTGAAAATGTATTTTTTTTCTTTTTGTTTTATATATATATATTTGTGGGCTACAGAATCAAATATCAATACATGTGTACAATATGTGGTGATCAAATCAGGATAATTAGTATATTCATGTTTACAAAATGTGATCAATCTTTGTGACCTTTAACTAGTTTCTCAGCAAACCCCCACCCCTTCCCCCTTTCCCACTTCTAATAACCACAGTTCTGATCTTTTTTTTTGAAAGTTTAATGTTATTTTGATTCTTTCTTTCTGTCTCCCTCCCTCCCTTCCTCCCTCCCCCTTCCTTCCTTCCTTCCTTCCTTCCTTCCTTCCTTCCTTCCTTTTTCCTCTCCTCTCCTCTTTCCCTTTCTTTCCTTATTTTAGCTCCCACTTAGAAGTGAGGGCATGCAGTACTTCTCTTTCTGTACCTGGCTTTTTTCACTTAACAATTTTCTCTATGTTCATCCATGTTGCTGTAAATGGCAGAATTTCATTCTTTTTTATGGCAGAGTAGTATTCCATTGGGTATGTATACCACATTTTCCTTTATCCAGTCATTTGTCCATGGACATTTGGGTTGATTCCAACTCTTAGCTATTGTAAATAGAGCTGCAATAAACATGAGAGTGCAGGTATTCTTCTGACATGATTTCCTGGCAGTTCTATCTATAGTTGTTTGAGAAAACTCCATACTGTTCTCCATAATGGCTGCACTAATTTACAGTCCTGCCAACAGTGGAGGAGGGTTCCCTTCTCTCCACACCCTCACCAGCATTTGTTATTCTCTGTCTTTTGGTAATAGCCAGTCCAACTGGGATGAGATATCTCAATGTGATTTTGATTTGCATTTCCCTGATGCTGTGTGATGTTGAGCATTTTTTTCATGTGTCTGTTGGCCATTTGTATATCTTCATATGAGAAATGCCTATTGAGCTCCATTTTTTAATTTGGTTACTTGTTTTCTTACTGTTGAGTTGCTTGAGTTCTTTGCATATTCTGTATGTTAATCGTTTGTCAGATGCACGGTTTGCAAATATTTTCTCCCATTCTGTAGGTTGTCTTTTCACTCTGTTAATTGTTTCTTTTGCTGTGAGCAGAAACTTTTCAGTTTGACATAATCCCATTTATTTTTTTCTTTTGCTGCTTGTTCTTTTGGGGTCATATTTATAAAGTCTTCACCCAGTCCTATATCCTGAAGTGTTTCTTCTATGTTTTCTTTGAGGGGTTTTATAATTTCAGGTCTTATATTTAAGTCTTTAATCCATATTGAGTTGATTTTGGTATATGGTGAGAGGTACAGGTTCAGTTTCATTCTTCTCCATATGGATGTCCAGTTTTCCCAGCACCATTTATTGAAGAGGCAGTCTTTTTTCCAGTGTATCTTCTTGATGCTTTGGTCAAAGAACAGTTGGCTGTAAGTATGTAGGTTGATTTTTTTTTTTTTTAGTCTGTGTTTATGCCGGTACCATAATGTTCTGGTTACTATAGCTTTGTAATATAGTTTGAGTCAGGGAGTATTATGTCTCTGGCTTAATTATTATTATTATTATTATTGCTCAGGATTGCTTTGGCTATTTGGGGTGTTTTGTTTTTCCATATGAATGTTAGGACTGTTTTTCCTATTTCTGTGAAGAATGTCATTGGTATTTTGATGGGGATTGCATTGAATCTGTAGATCATTTTGGATAGTATGGACATTTTCACAGTGTTAATTCTTCCAATCCAAGAGCAGAGCATGGTATGTCTTTCCATCTTTTTATGTCCTCTAATTTCTTTCAGCAGCAATTTGTATTTCTCATTATAGAGACCTTTCATTATCTTGGTTAAATTGATTCCTAGCTATTTCATTTTTGGGGAGACTATTTTAAATGGCCTTGCTTTTTAAATTTCTTTATCTGCTAGTTTGTCATTGGAGTGTAAAAATGGTACTGATTTTTGCATTGGTATCTTGCAAATATACCAAAATTGTTTATCAGCTCTGAGAGTTTTTTGGTAGAGTCTTTAGGTTTTTATGTATATAGGATCACGTCATCTGCAAACAGGGACAGTTTGACTTTGTCTTTTCAAATCTGGATTCCCTTTATTTCTTTCTCTTGCCTGATTGCTCTGGCTTGTACTTCCAATAATATTTTAAATAGGAGTGGTAAGAGTGGGCATCCTTGTCTTGTTCCTGTCCTGTCAAAATCATTCAGGATGATATAGGTAGTGGGTTTGTCATATATGGCTTTTATTGTGTTGAGATACTTTCCTTCTATACCTAATTTGGTAAGAGTGTTTATCATTCAGGGATGTTGAATTTTGTCAAATGCTCTTTCTGTGTCTGTTGAGATAATCATATGGTTTTTCTCCTTGATTTTGTTGATGTGATGTATAACATTTATTGACTTGTATATATTGAACCATCCTTGCATCTCTGGAATGAATCCCACTTGATCATGGTGTATAATTTTTGATGTGT